GGTAATTTATATCTTCCTGATAACTTAAAAGTCCTCTTTTCACTTCTAGACAAAACTAACCGGCAGTTAAATTGGTCTTATTTGATAGCTGACTTATTAAATGATGTATAAAAGTTAATTATGACCTTACACCCATGACCTTTTTTATCTACATAATATTTAGTTTATATTAAATATGTTTTACATTTTAAATAATAATTTCAGAAAACTACAAAAAACTTGACCTACATATGATTTATTACCCCAACAAACATTCAATTGCCGGGATATTGCTGGGCTTTGCTGGAAATGAAGGGAAAATGAATGTGGCGAATAAAAGATAAAAGCAAAAGCCCATTTTTGGCCTTTTGATAGTGGCCCAGAAAAATGTTAGTGATTGCCTTACGAAGGGTAAGTAACTGTATTGGATAAAAGCCTGGTAAAAATCGAAAAGCTTTTAAACATTATTGCTGTCGGGCCATCATCATTTTAAAACATGTATCGATTCAGTGGCATCATTGTGGCTAGTTGTACTGTACAAATGATTATATTGTAGCAGATAGCAGACCAATCGTTTCAAACGCCACTAATCGAATTGAATTGATAGTATTCACTATTCAGTATTAATTGTAATTTCTTACTTCAGCATATTGTTAATTTAGAATATTTTATGAAAAATGTTTTCTCTATTACTATTACTATAGCTGAATTAAATAAAATCTCCACAGTAGTCTCTATTTGAATACCTGAATGTCTTTTGTTTTACTATTGAATTTATAGTTCAAACGGTGCTACTAGTGCAGTGTTGCCAGAATATATTTTTATAATGTACCAGATTTATCTAAAAAATGTACCAGATTTCATAAAAATGTACTAGATTCTATAAAATTACCAGATTTTTCTAATTATGAAGTTTGGTCATTAAAGAGCAAAAAAATGTTTATAGAGAACACGAACACAACAATTTTAAACAATATTTTATCTCTCGACAAATTTCTGACACTATTTTATCTCTCCAGCAGTTTTTGAATAAGATTTTAATACCTTTTGATACTCTTTTATCTCTCGAACAGTTTTTAATTTTTTTTTATCTCTTGATCTATTTTGAAACAATACTTTATCTCTCGATAAATTTCTAATAGTATTCTATCTCTCGAGCAATTTTAAACAACTTTTTTTTATCCCTCGAGCAATGTTTGTACAAAATTTTTAACACTATTTAATCACTCGAGCAATTTTTAACAGTTTTTTATCTTTCAAGCTATTTTTGAACAATATTTGAATTCTCGTGCAATTTTTGAGCAAAATTTTAACAATTTCTAACACTATTTCATCTCCCGATCAATTTTTAAAAACGATTTTAATACCTTTTGATATTTTATCTCTCGAACAGTTTTTAAAAAACCTTTTTTTATCTCTTGAGCTATTTTTAAAAAATATTTTCTCTCGATAAATTTCCAACAGTATTCTAGCTCTCGAGCAATTTTTAAGAACTTTTTTTTATCCCTCGAGCAATGTTTGTACAATTTTTAACACTATTTAATCACTCGAGCAATTTTTAACAGCCTTCTTTTACCTTTCAAGCTATTTTTGAACAATATTTGATCTCTCGTGCAATTTTTGAGCAAAATTTTAACAATTTCTAACACTATTTTATCTCTCGAGCAATTTTTGAAAAATATTTTAATACCTTTTGATATTATTTTATCTCTCAAACAGTTTTTAAATCTATTTTTATCTCTTGAGCTATTTTTAAACAATATTTTTTTTTCTCGATAAATTTCTAACAGTCTTCTATCTCTCGAGCAATTTTTCACAACTTTTTTTATCCCTCGAGTAATGTTTGTACAATATGTTTTTGTACAATTTTTAACACTATTTAATCATTTGAGCAATTTTTAAGTCTTTTTTACCTTTCAAGCTATTTTTAAACAATATTAATTTGATCTCTCGTTCAATTTTTGAGCAAAATTTTAACAATTTCTAACACTATTTCATCTCTCGAGCAATTTTTAAAAACGATTTTAATACCTTTTGATATTTTATCTCTCGAACAGTTTTTAAAAAAACCTTTTTTTATTTCTTGAACTATTTTTAAAAAATATTTTATCTCTCGATAAATTTCTAACAGTATTCTAGCTCTCGAGCAATTTTTAACACTATTTAATCACTCGAGCAATTTTTAACAGCCTTTTTTTACCTTTCAAGCTATTTTTAAACAATATTTGATCTCTCGTTCAATTTTTGAGCAAAATTTTAACAATTTCTAACACTATTTTATCTCTCGAGCAATTTTTAAAAACGATTTTAATACCTTTTGGTAATATTTTATCTCTCGAACAGTTTTTAGAAAAACCTTTTTTTATTTCTTGAACTATTTTTAAAAAATATTTTATCTCTCGATAAATTTCCAACAGTATTCTATCTCTCGAGCAATTTTTAACAACTTTTTTTATCCCTTGAGCAATGTTTGTACAATTTTTAACACTATTTAATCACTCGAGCAATTTTTAAAAGCCTTTTTTTACCTTTCAAGCTATTTTGGAACAATATTTGATGTCTTGTGACATTTTTGAGCAAAATTTTAACAATTTCTAACATTTTTTTTATCTCTGTAGCAATTTTTGAAAAAGATTAACACCTTCTGATGATATTTTATCTCTCGAACAGTTTTTAAACAATTTTAAACAAATTTCTAACAGTATTCTATCTCTCGAGCAATTTTTAACAACTTTTTTTTATCTCTCGAGCAATGTTTGCACAAAATTTTTAACACTATTTAATCACTCGAGCAATTTTTAACAGCTCTTTTACCTTTCAAGCTATTTTTGAACAATATTTGATCTCTCGTGCAATTTTTGAGCAAAATTTTAATAATTTCTAACACTATTTTATCTCTCGAGCAATTTTTATTAACATTTTTTATCTTTCTAACAATTTTTAAACAATGTTTTATCTCTCGAGAAATGTTTAACAGTATTTTTTAATTCTCGAGTAATTTTTTAATTAGATTTTAATAACTTATGATACTATTTTATCTCTCGAACACTTTTTAAACCTTTTTTTATCTCTTGAGCTATATTTAAACAATATTTTATCTTTCGATAAATTTATAACATTATTCTATCCGATCAATTTTTAACAACTTTTTTATCTCTTTAGCAAACTGCACAATATTTAAACTCTCGACAAATTTATAAAAATATTTTAACTCTCGATAAATTTTTAACAATGTTTTATATCTCGAGCAATGTTTGTACAATATTTTATCTCTCGCGCATTTTCTAATAGTATTTTATCGTTCGAGGAATTTTTAAGCAATGTTTTATCTCTCGAGAAATTTCTAATAGTAGGTATCTCTTGAGTCAATTGTGAACAATATTTTATTTCTCAACAAATTTTTCAATAGTATTTGATCACTCGAGCAATTTTTGAACAAGGGTTTAACATTTTGTAATACTATTTTACCTCGAGCAATTTTTGAACACGATTTTAACAATTTATAATACTATTTAATCTCTCAAAAAATTATTAAATATTTTTATCTCTCATTAAATTTCTAACAGTATATTTATCCTTAGAGCAATTTTTGAACAATATTTTACCCCTCAAGCAATTTCTAATACTATTTTATACTTCGGCCAATTTTTAACACCCTTTTTTACCTCTCGAGCCATTTTTGAACAATATTTAATCTCTCGTGCCATTTTTAAACAATGTTTTATCTCTAAGTGTCTACTATTTTATCTCTGAAGTAATTTTTAAGAACTATTTTAATTTCTCTTGCAATTTTTGACCAATATATTTTACACTTCAAATGGAAACATACGCTGAAAAAGGTACTAGATTTTGTTTCTAGTGTACTAGAGTACCAGATTCTCAGAGAATGTACTAGATCTAGTACAATTGTACTAGACTGGCAACACTGTACTAGTGTATTGATCAAAGAAGTACTACCTAATCAGGGGTCAGTAATAATATAATAACTTCCTATCAATAGGCCATTAATTGCCAATATTTATTTCAAACCGACATTAAAGGGAAAATGAAGACCTAAGAAACGGATTTGATGGCTAAGTGACTTCGTTCCGACTGTTGACCATAGCGACCTATATATGTCGGCCTTTTAATTATAAAAGTTAAATGGCCATCATTACAAGTGGAGGGTAACAGTTATTGGGCCTTTTATTCCTATACACAAAATGTAACGTACGGATAATACATTCGTAAATTAGTCTTACGCCCTTAACTAACGATTTTGGATTTGGGTAAATATCTTATTTTTAGTCTACAGTTAGGCGATGTCCCAACATTTTGAAGACCCTATATATTCGGTAACAAATCAATTTAACTTTCGGTAAACATACTGGTTTTATACTTAGGGATTCCCCGGTCCTTAAATATTTAAAAGGTGCTGGTACACATATGTACCGTATGTTATTAAGAATGATCTGCCCGATGTAAGTGACTGAAATGTCGACTCTAATATCCATTTTGATGATAGTTACGCTTTGAGGTATAAATATTTACCAAGATTTCAATTAGCAGCAATTTGATAATCAATAATTCAACGTGGTACATATTTATATCAGAAGGAGTCAAGAGCTTTCGAGCTTTGAGTAAACCAGTTATTTCGACAAAAAGTAGTGTATTTTTAATCATATTTTTTTCTTTTAGAGAAATAGAAATTTTGTGAATATTTTAGCCTTTTAGTGGTTCATATGTGTACCACAATAATGTTGATGGTACAAATATGTACCACCAATTAAAAAAAACTATGATTTTGAAATTTTAATACTTAAGATATAGCCGATAACTAATCATACCAATTTTAAAAAATGTGGATTAATAGATTTCATAATGAATATTAAAAGATCCATTAACTAATGGGACAATTACGTTTCTAAGTCCTATTAGGTAATGGATCTTTTAATGTTCATTATGAAATCGACCCCTAAGAGTTTTGACCGCTAAAGGGTTAAAGGAAACCTAGGAAGCAACAATCGCCGACACTGTCTGATTGAAGCCAGAAACATGTTACACCGACTAATTAATTTTCCTACACCTCGAATATTTTCGCAGTCTGTTGCGGCGATTCAAAAGTAATAGATATAGCGAGCGAGTTAAATAAGTTGCTATAGTCGTATCGTAGCGATTCATTTGGAACTTATTAGAAATTATGTTCCGTGTGCTTGTGCGCTAAGAAATTAACGATAGTTATGTTGTATATTATTTGGATGGTAACACTTTTTGGTAAGTACATTTTTGTGTTGATAATAACTGAAAAATGGTGAATAGTAGATTTATTTTTATAGTAGGTATAGTAGACACGCAATTCGGCTATAAGATCTGCACCAAATATATTAAATCTAATTTGACAACATTGTTTGAAGGTACCTAAGCAGGCATAAAACCATCTACGGCCCGTTAAGATAAAATGATTCTCTAGTCTTTTAAATTCCTCTTTGGAAATTAATAATATTGTATAAATAAGTTGTAAATATTTTATTCATCACTGATTTGTATTTATTATACTCTTCACACAGTAGTCTGTGAAGAGTATTATAGGTTTACTTTTGAGAAACCAAACTCTTGCATATTAATCCAGATTTAAACATTTTTGTACCAAAATCCTTCTCATCAAATATTAAGCGACTTTTAAAAACATCCGTCCGTCCATCCTATGTCACGTTTTTTGTCCGCACGATAAGTGAAAAACGAAAAATGATATCAAATTTTATTCAAAATCAAACTCTATAAGGGGATGAAGTCTAATGATTCTAAACAAGAAATTGAATTAAAATGGGGGGTATATTAAAAAAAAACTATCTCAAAAACGAAAAATAATATCAACTTGAAATATTTAGAAAAAAATCAAGCGCTATAAGGGGACGAAGTCTATTGATTTAAAAAAATCTAAATTAAAGAGGAATCAAAATTAAAAAAATTATAAATCAAAAACGAAAAGCGATATTCTGAAAAAAATTTGAATGAAAATGTAGGGTTAAGGGGGTTGAAATATTAAAAAAATCTTAACTCAAAAACAAAAAATAATATCAACATGAAATGTTAAGTAAAAAAATCAAGCTCTATAAGGGGATGAGCCTATTGATTCTGAATTGTTTTTATAAAAATGGCGGGTTAAGGGGGTTGAAATTAAAAAAGTCAGGAATCAAACACGGAAAGCGATATCAACATGAAATTTTTAGTATAAATCAAGTTCTATAAGGGAATAAAGCCTATTGATTCTAAATAATTCTGAAAAAATCTGATTAAAAATTGGGGGTCTGTTAAACTGTGAAGAGTATCATAATAAAATGTTAGGCATTATACAGGGTGTTCCATTAGTACGTAATAAATAAATAAAAGTTATATGAATTTACAAAATACATATTTTAAAAATATTTATGCCAGGCAAATAAAAAATGTATATTGTTTAAATTCAACACCCTGTATTTTATTTCAATTTTAGATGGCTTACTAATACTGTATTCAACCCTACAATTCAAAATATTACAGGATTGCCAAGCAAATGAGAGAACGATGCAGTCCCCAAAATAAATTATAATTTAGGTAGGTTTACATTGATTTCAAAATTATTTAGTAAACAAACTCATAAGATACTAGGCTAACGAATAGTGGTGATATAACTAGTTTATTTTATACAGAGTGTTTTGAAACATGTTTTAAATATGTCTAATTTCAAGTCCAATTTACTCAATTTTTTCAAATGCAACACCCTATTAGCATAAAATTTCATATTAATTTATCTATTCCACGATACCAACATGTTAGCCAATAACACATATACAAGGTGTACAATCAGTGCATAATTGATCTATAGCTGTTTTATTATTGTAAATACAAAAAAAAAATAATATAAAAGTTGTATCACCATATTTATACATATTTGATTGTTTTCATATTGTCAAATAATTTTAGTTGACTTCATTCATTTGCTATGTTATATATAGGGTGTGTAAAAACGCCAGGTTACAATTTTCTCAATTTTTTAAATGGTAATAATAAATTGGTGGTATAAGATCCAGGGTATTCTATTTAAAAAATTGAGAAAATCGTAACCTTTCATTTTAAAACACCCTATATTCAAAATAATAAATAATTAAAGTCTATTAAAATTGTTTAATGATGTGAAAATAATCAAATATGTATAGGGTTGCCATAATTTCTCCATCTTCTATCGGGACATGTGAGAAACTCAAATTTGTAAAAAACAACGTTTATTGCATAAAAAATACCTACACATAACTTATTATTATAATATAACATAATAAACATACAAATGATATCCACACCAACATAACTAAGAAGTACTTAAACTTGACTTAATAAAATTTTTCAAAATATTTTGCTTGTCTTAAAAGTTAATGTATTTATAAAATTCCGCGCATGTCAGTTTAATGTTATATGTATTGGCATTGCAAAATGGCCAATAGTTTCAATAGTTTCTAGCACCCATAGGCGCCGAATCCCCGGGGCCCTGGGTGCGCAAGCACCCAAAGCAGTTTTAAACAGGATGCGGAGCACCCACAGCACATCGAGTACAAAAAGTGTCAATAAGTGAAATGAAGAAGCTGTCTGGTCCAAGCTGGTATAGCGACAGATAAATATTATCGTTCGGAGCTGTATTTTTTGTAATAAAAAAGTTGCCGAGACTTGTAATAGACAACGCGTTGAACTTGGACTTAAGGGTTTATTATTCTTGGTGTATAAAACCCTGTGACGTTAAAAAAGAAAGATTAATAACGGTCTACAATTATCAAGACAAGATCTTTGTACATATGCCATTGAGCAAATGCTTGAGGGGAAAAGGGAGAACATTTTAAAGTTGCTCCCGATCAAGCACCGTTAGAAAAGAACGTTTAGTTAGAGTTAGAAACAGCTCTCTAGTATTGCTGGTGAGAAACCAGGTCATCTACTAAAACACGCTTGGACCCGTCAATTTTGTTTTTGGGGGAAACATTGTTTTGGCAGTTTCACCCCCTGAACGGAAACCCTCTATCGGGGGGTAAGACTCACCAGTTATATCTTAAATGGAAAGATTCGTCGAATGATATGTTATTTTAAAGGTATTGTTACTTAGATAATAACCCTCAAGTTTTACATCGCTACTATCTATGTACCCCATACAGTGGCTCACCAAAACTACAAAACCGGTTTAACATAATTTTTACATTGTTATTAAAAAAAACAAATTCTTTGTAACAATTCTACTTTTATTCCTGTGGCTTTCAATTATTGTTATCAGATGACATTCTTTGGTCGCCGTAAAGTAGTAAGGTTTAGTTTTAGAGTCGCCATAAAAGTGGCATATCAGTGATAATGGTTTACTTTATTGCTAAGAGGGTGCAAATAATTTCACTTTTATTGCGAACATTGAATGTGCTAATAGAATTGCCTAACTGTTTAATAATCAACATCAAAATCGGCAAGTCCATCGAAACTACATTTTGGAGTTAGTCCAAACATTTTGGAAAACGGGGTCAGTAACTAACAAATAACGTGAAATGGAAAATTCTGTAGTAAATGAAGCTACAGAGGTGGCGATTTTAGGAAATGTTGTTTAAGAACCCATATTGAGTACAACACAGTTGGCGATAACATCTGGGACGTAGCATTCAGAAGATATTGAAAAAATACATTTGGTAAAAGAACTTAACGAAGACAATTTTGATAGGCGATTACAATTTTGTGAAATTATGACTGAACGGCCATTAAATGATCAGCAATTTCTTTTCAACGTGTATTATTCAAACAAGGCACTTTTTTCCTAAATGGTACGATAAATCATCACAACTGTCGTTATTGGTCCGATTCAAATCCCAGAATATTTTATGAAGTGCATACGCAACATCCGGAAAAACTGAATGTTTGGACTGACATTTTTTTACCAGAAACTTTAACAGCAAAAATGTATTTGGAATTATTATAAAACGCTATTTGTCCAGCTTTACTAGAGTTGATTTGAGAATGACGATCAGTACATAGCAAACAACTTAATATTCCAACATGACGGTGCGTCACTGTTCGTCAATATTTGGATCAAACGTTTCCAGGATCGGAAGAAGAGGAAGTATTGAGTGGTCCCCACAGTCTCCGGATCTAAGCCCGTTGGATTTTTTATGGGACCACTTAAAAACTAAAATTTATGCCACCCAGCCAACATCACTGAAATCTGCGACAACGGATAATTGATTAATGTCATCAAATCACCCCACAGATGCTTAAAAATGTCCGAGAGCATTTTAAACAAATCCTCTATTATTGCATGGAGGCCCAGGGTCAGCATTTATAGCATTTACTCGAGTAACTGGTAAGCTTTTACAGAAAATAAAAATCGTTAACTCGGGGGTTATGATCTTTAAAATACCAGAGGTGGCTGCACCGACCATATAGGGTTGCCAGATATCCCGTTTTAGGTGGGAGCCTCCAGCCTATCCAGCAATTGGACAGTTGACAATACCTTTTTTTTTTCAAGAAAATTTTCATGAAATCAGCTTTAAAATAGCTTTTTAAAAACCGGTGGTGCCTTGAAGTGAGGTGTGGAGGGGGGGATAGCCCCTATTTTTCGCATAGAAGCGGGACACCCAAAGCAATTTTTGAATTCTGGCCCCTATGCTAGCATAAATTGATTCCTCTGGTCTCGAAAGAATAATTATGTATAAAAGATATTGACACATTTTGAGAAGTTCAGAGTTTTGATCTAAATTCTCGGGTTCTTTAGAATCGGTACTTTTTGCAGTTTTGTCGGGACATGATGGTCAATAACGGTGACAGTCCCGATATATCGGGACGAATGGCAACCCTAAATATGTAGGGTGGTCTGCTTTAAAAATGTATAGGTTTGGTTAGCCCCTGTATATTTAAGAATAATTATTAAATATGGTCATACAAGTATTATTATTAATTTTTTTTGTAGTATTTCCAATATTAAAGCAGCTATAAATCAATTACTCACTGATGTGTTATTGGCTAACTTGTTGGTATCGTTGAATAGGTAGATTCATAATGAATTTTTTGCTAAAATAATATACAGGGCATTTGAGTAAAGTGAACTTAAAATTAGCCATATTTAAGATATGTTCCAAAACACTAGTTCTCTCACCACTACTCGTTAGATTAGTATCTTATAAGTCTGTATATAAAACAATTTTGAAATCGATGTAAACCTATCTAAATTATTATAATTTATTTTGGGATCTGCATCGTTCTCTAATTTTATAAAAAAATTA